AGGGCAGGGAGAGGAGAAAAACCCCTTCACTCACTCACTCACGCACGCACACACATTTGGGGGTCTCCAGAAGTTGGGGGGGAAATAAAAAGCAGTGAAATACAGACGGGTCCAGAGGAAAAACGCCCCAAGGGCTTCTCATTCCCCCCTGCCAAGATGAGAGGATAATGATGATTGGGGGAAGGGGAAGGACAGACTTCCTTTAGCCAGACCCCTTCCCCCCCTTCTTGCCCATCCCAGGCTCTTCCAAGGCCTCCTCCCCCCCCAAATCCTAACCAGGAGCCCCTTTTCCTTCCTCCCCACCTGGAGGCTTCCCACCTTCTAAAGAGGCTCCCTCAGCGGAAGAAGAAATGTATTTCCGCCTGTGTGTGGGGACGCTCTAGGATCCACTTCCTCTCCACGGCTCATCTTCTCCCTGCAGGGGACACTCTAGGAGGGAAGCAGCCCCACCTCTCTCACTTTCTTGGGATGCCTCTCTAGGAAGGACGTTGCCTTTCTGACGTCCATTCCAGGAATGAAGGAAGGGGCCGGTCGTTGCCTCTCTTCTAGCCTTCCTATGGGGGCGTTCTAGGAATGAATTAAGGAATAGAGTAAGGAGGACAACTATTTGGAATGGATAGGAAGAGGAGTTGTTTTTATTTATCTTTTTTCCAAAAGCCTCTCTGCCTTAAAAAAAAATCTCTTTCAGAGAGAAAGATGTTGAAACCAAGAAAATAAAAGCCAAATATTCTCTGGGGCCTCTTTGGAAATAAAAGATAGATAGAGTCGCCGTTCCTAGAGTACCAAAGAAAGAAGGGAAGGGACATCTTGATTCCTAGAGCGTCTCTCTCCTTCTTCTTCCTCCTCCTCCTCCTCCTCCGCTGATTCCAAAGTGCACCCTCTTTTCCCTTCCCACCATAACATGTTCATCAGGACAGACAGGGCTCTTTGTGAATCCAGAAATTCAGATACAGGAAAAAAAAAAAGATTGCTCTCTTATCCCATTGAAATCAACAATAAAACCAGACCCAAGATTTCTATGGGCTTCCTGGTGTTTCAGGTTTCCGAAACAAGATCTGAATAAGAATCTGGAACTAGAGTCATGGCTACTGGATTTTTTTTCTTGTTAGTTTGAAACGTTTCATTACTTACCCAAGTGGGGATTATCCCTCACCCCCAGTCCTTTGTCCATCTAAGGAGCCTACTCAGACCATGGGGAAGTGCGTGTAGGCATCCTTCAGTCTTGAGAGACTATGGTAATGTGCTCTAAAGAGGAACGACGTCCAGTGTGGCTGAGAAGCCCAATTCGAAAGTGGCAATCCCTTCCACAATGAAGACAAATATAATCTGTCCCCTGTCCAGCTCCCTTTAGGGACTGCCTCTTGGCCTCGCCCTGCTGGACAAGGGTCTCTTCAAACTGGGAGAGGCCGTGATGCAACACCTGCCTCCAGGCTGAACGCTCAGAGGTCAAGGTTTCCCATCTGTTGAGGTTCATTCCTAAGGCCTTCAGAACCTGCTTGCAGATGTCCTTGTATCGCAGTTGTGGTCTCCCTCTGGGGCGATTTCCCTGCACTAATTCTCCATGTTGTTGTTTAGTCATTAAGTCATGTCCGACTCTTCATGACCCCATGGACCAGAGCACACCAGGCCCTCCTGTCTTCCACTGCCTTCCGGAATTGGGTCAAATTCATGTGGGTCGCTTCAATGACACTGTCCAGCCATCTCATCCTCTGTTGTCCCCTTCTCCTCTTGCCTTCACACTTTCCCAACATCAGGGTCTTTTCCAGGGAGTCTTCTCTTCTCATGAAATGGCCAAAGTCTTGGAGCCTCCGTTTCAGGATCTGTCCTTCCAGTGAGCACTCAGGGTTCATTTCCTTCAGAATGGATAGGTTTGTTTTCCTTGCAGTCCAGGGGACTCTCAAGAGTCTCCTCCAGCACCACAATTCAAAAGCATCAATTATTTGGCGGTCAGCCTTCTTTATGGTCCAGCTCTCACTTCCATACATCGCTACCGGAAAAACCATAGCTTTGACTTTGCGGGCCTTTGTCAGCAAGGTGATGTCGCTGCTTTTTAAGATGTTGTCGAGGTTTGGCATCACTTTCCTCCCAAGAAGCAGGTGTCTTTTAATTTCGGGGCTGCTGTCACCCTCTGCAGTGATCATGGAGCCCAGGAAAGTAAAATCTGTCACTGACTCCATATCTTCCCCTTTTATTTGCCAGGAGGTGATGGGACCAGTGGCCATGATCTTAGTTTTTTGGATGTTGAGCTTCAGACCATTTTTGGCGCTCTCCTCTTTCACCCTCATTACAAGGTTCTCGTGCGAGTGTCACGGGTAGAACTTTTCAGACTTTACGTTACTATTAAACACGAGATTAAAACCTTTTGAAACAAATGACGCCTTCTTTCCCTTTACTTGCTTATTACTAAAACTGCTTTAAATAACATTCATCCTTTTATCCTTTTACACTTTTCTGTAGAAACTTCTTTTATACAATACGTGGTTATTCTAATTCAACACAGGGTTACACATGTATTTTGTGATGCCTCTTTGCTAATTAACATTATAGTTAAACACAACGCAAGCTATAATTTTAATTTTTCCTGTTTCCCCCCCGTTTTTGTCTCTGTTTAGAGTTTAGCTTTTTCAACAGCGTAAAAACTCTATTGTTTACATTTTTCACTATGAAACTGGCACAAAACTGAATGAGTGATGATTGCCTTGTTATCGTATCACTTTTATGTTGCCCCAAAAATGGGCTGTTTTGTAAACAATTGTCCCCAGCTGTAGTTTTTCAATAATACGTTTGTTTTTCACGTATATCTCTGAACTTTTCAATTTTAAGGCAATTCCTCTGTACCCCATAAAATCAGTTTTTTAAACTCTAACAAAGAGGCAGGGAGGGAAGAATGTGGGGCCTGCAGAAAACCTGTGTGGACATTGCGCCAAACCAGGCTGAACTGCCAAGACACGGTTTATGCCCATTTCTAGTAAGGATGTTTGGTATATTTCCCACTCAATGAGCTTCATATGACTGTATAAGCAAATGGCTATCAATGCCTTTGTCCGAAAGCTCCCTGCATTTCTCTTCGTTGTTCTTCCTACCTCTACAAAATTCATTATTTCCTCCCGGATCTAGAAAAAAAATTTCAGACTACGGAAAAAGATCCACGTATTTACACCATGGTGGACTTCATGACGTGACGTCAAATGTCTTTTCTGCCTAAAGGTTTTTCTATGTACCAAGCAATGAGGACAGTTTCACCATAGGTCCATGAAGTCTCTGATGAGACGCCGGATGAGTGACCAAGAACCTTTCTCAGATTTCCTAATCTACATGCTTTTCCTCTGTGTAGCTTCTTTGATGACAAGAAATGTCCGAGATCTCTATGAAAACCCTTGCCAAATTTTCTGATCTAAACAGTTTCCTTTGTAGGTTTTTTTTTTTAAAAAAATGTGAATGAAGGTGACTGCTATGACTGAAGCACTTCCCACACTCCATGCATTCATAGGGTTTCTCCCTGGTGTGAGAAACCATACAAACTAAGGTTGTCCAATGGACAGAAGTCTTTTTCACATTCCAAATATTTGAATCCTTTCTCTCTGTGGGTTCGATTCTTCTCCCCTGTGTGAGTTGTTTTATGTGAACGGAGGACACTGCTGTGACTGAAGCTCTTTCCACATTCCAGGCATTGATAGGGTTTCTCCCCAGTGTGAGTTCTTTGATGCAAACTAAGATGACTCTTGTGCTTGAAACTCTTCCCACATTCTATGCATTTAAAGGGATTCTCTTGTGTGTGCCTTCTCATATGGGAAACAAGGTTTGAGCTCTGATTGAAGCTCTTCCCACATTCCAAACACATAACGGGCTTCTCCCCTCTGTGTATTCTCATGTGGGAGGAAAGGTTTCCATTCTGGGTGAAGCCCTTCCCACATTCCATTCATTTATATGGTTTCTCTCCTGTGTGGACTCTCATATGGGAATAAAGCTTTCCACTCCGATTGAAGCCTTTCCCACATTCCGTGCATTTGTACGGTTTCTCCTCCGTGTGAGATCTTTCGTGTAAACTAAGGTCACTATTGTGCTTGAAGCTCTTCCCACATTCGCTGCCTTCAAACAGTTTGAGCTATGGCTAAAGCTTTTCCCACATTCCAGGCACATAAATGGTTTATCCCCTTTGTGTACCCTCATATGAGAGGCAAGACTGCTGCTCTGAGTGAAGCCCTTTCCACATTCCATGCACTGATACGGTTTCTCTCCTGTGTGGGTTCTCATATGGGAATCAAGCTTTTCTCTCTGACAGAAGCTCTTCCCACATTCGAAGCATATAAATAGTTTCTCCCCTGTGTGGATTCGCATATGCGAAGTAAGATTTCCGCTATGACTGAAACCCTTTCCGCATTCTATGCATTGAAATGGTTTCTCCCCGGTATGACGTCTTTGATGTGAACTAAGATCACTATTGTGCTTGAAGCCCTTCCCACATTCTATGCACGTATACGG